CGTTAAAGTTGACTCTTAGAGGACAAGAGATTTTTATGTGTTTGGCTGCTCTATTATGCGAACAGTTTTTGCCGATTCGCGAGTGGAGTTGCCAAGATATCCTCATGGAAATATTTTTTTCTCAGTGCATTCAGCTGTAGTGAAGTGTTAGTAAAAAATGGTGCCATTCGGAGTAAACGTTCTTTTCTTAACTCAAAAAAAAAAATTTGGGGGGGTTCTGTTGTTGTTTCACAAAAGCCCTTTGAAACTGAACAAGTTGGAAAAATCGTAATTCTCTTTTAAAAAGCCACACCAACCCGTATTATACCGTTAATTTCAAGTCGTTTTATCAGTATTTCCTTCAAGCTCTGACGCCGGCACCCACTTTGACATTGAAACTACCAGTTATTCTATTATTTCGACTATTGTCCGAGCAGTCAACAAAAGGAAGTAAAAAACAATGGCAATTAGAAAGTGCCGTACACGCTCGTCACCTCGTTCTCCAATATGACATTTTAGAACTAGAATAATTCCAGAACTTAAAAATGGTTTAGGCTACAGTGACAATCTTGAGATGTTTGTTGATTCCTCTTTCGTGGAATCAACAAACATCTCAGCAGGTTTCAGAGCGTGACGTGGCACCAAGATGGTTAAAGATTACATGTGTCACCAAGATGGTTAAAGATTACATGTGTCACGGTGGGCGCTTTCCATTTGACCAAAATTTTCGAGATTTCCGGTCAGAAATCGAATGGAACGGGAAAAGTTCCGCGATAAGTTTTCGAAAATTTAGGAATACGTTTTTAGTGTACCCTCTTAGATACGGTCGGACGCGTTCCATTCGGCCAGCGAAAATACCGACATTTTGAACCCGTGATTTTTGTTGAATGGAAAGCGACCCTTTTCACCTAAAACCTGTCAATAAAACACCTTCATGTCAACAATATTTTATCATAAAGGTAAAACAAACATGACTTTGCAAACAAAGGAGTGTCAATTTTCGAATCCCGACAAATCCAAAAGCGCGCCATCCTAGATATAAGCTGATCGGTTTTGCACCTTTTTCAACTCCAAATCGCGAAATTCGATTCTAAGAAGGCACAATCGAAAGAATGTAATTATTTTGCGTCGATACAGCCCATAGAAGGGCTCTAACGAGCGAATTGCTAATGGTAAGTTTACCCCACTAGGGTAAACTTTACCCGGCGGGAAACTGAAACAAAC